GCATTTTTCCATATGCCTATTAACTCATACTGGAAGTCCTCTTTCTAGTCTGGTTCTTTAAGTTAAGCTGAAAAACTTTCAAGTTCTTACAATCATCAATAACATGTTCCATTTTCTTGTTGAATAGTATTCTCTCGGATGAATGCACCATTTGTATATTGGTTTACCATTTGAATAACATCTGAGTTCTTGCCAGTTTGGGGCTATTATTAATAGAGTCACAGTAAACATTGGCATGAAGCCTTTTATGTGAAGAGAAATTCATGTTTTACGCGGGAGTTATTTTCGGAATGGGATTACACAGTTTTCCAGTGTGCAGATATTTATGAGCAATGAAAAACATTTCCCAAAATGTCTTTATCATTTTTCATTCTGATGAGTCATTGAGGAGAGTTTCAGTTTCTCTCTTTTCCTGAGAGTTGTTTATGTTCTCAGTTATTTTATTGCTTTTATCCAAGATACAATTTGCATACTTAATATGCATTCAGTACTAATTACTAATTATTTTAGTTACTTTTAGGTGTTTATGAGTCACCTGTACAACGTATGTCCTATCTTATGTCAAGCAATTGCTATTCTAATATTTTCCCACATTTAATTGGATTATCTGTTCTCTTATTAGTGAGTTTCAGAGCTCTTATGTATTTTGGTTATAATATATTTTGTATGAATATTGATGTGTATTTGTGGGTGTTTGTGTGTATGTGAAATATATTTGTATTTGCATAACCAGCTGAAGAGAGAGAACTATTCTGTAAACTTATAGGAATTCCCTAATACCACAGTGGTATATTCTTTGTCCATAGTCCCTTAAGACTACTGATTTCTTTTCCATGTCTCCAATTTTGTCATTTTGATAATAATATGTACGTGGAATCATAAAGTACATGTCGTTTTAAGATTGGCCTCTGTTTTACTTTGGCATGCACTTGAGATTCATTCATGTTGTCACGTGTATTAATATTTTCTCCCATTTTTTGATGAGAAATATTACTGGTATGGTTAACTGGGTCACAGGTATGGTGGTATGGTTATGTAACTATGGTTAAACCACAGTTGAACCATTCACTCATTGAAGGACCTCTAGCCTCTCTACATTTTTAGCTATTACAAGCAAAGTTTCAATGAAAATTCATGTAAAAGCTTTTATGTTCCTTTCTCTAAAATAAATATGCAGGAATATAATTTCTGGGTCAAATCATACTTGAATGTTTATAGCATGTTGTATAATAAAGTGTCAAATTGTTTTTCAGGAGAGCTGTACCATTTATACTCTCACAAGAAATGTATGAATAACAAGTTTCTCTGCATCCTTGCCACCTTATTGTGTGGTCATGTTTTAACAATGTGTAGCCACTTTCACAGATAGAGAGCAGTTAGAACTCTTGATAGTTTCCCTGTGCGTTTCCGTCATAGCCAATATGCTCAGCATCTTTGCCTGTGCTTCTTTGCCATTGCTGTGACTTCGTTGGCCAAGTTTTTGTTCAAGTCTTTCAATTATCTTGATCATTTTCTATTGAGTGTCTCTTTTCACCTGATGACTTTGAGATTTTTCAATAAATGTTTTTCATTCCTAGTTATTTTCCATGCCATTATATTTGTTGGAGTTTTGCACATGTCAAATTATTAATATTTTAGGTTTATGCATTCTGACACAATGGATTTAGCCTAAATGTGAGGAACATCAGTTTCTGCATGGCTTTCTTCTAGAACTATAAGCTATTTTTACTTTTTCTATGTTCGTTTGCTTTTCCATATATATGCTAATATATACATTTATAAGTATCTCTGTGTAAGTCAGGATAGTATACATAGGCCACATCCTATATATAGGATACATCTATAGAAAAGATTCTACTTGTTTTGCTCTTTGAGAAGGACCCTAGCTCTGAAAAATAATGTTAATAAAAAATGCAGGGAAGTCGAGTATTGATTTATGGAATAGACAGGGTTTCTTGGTAAGACGGCCATTCAAAAGTCTATCAAGTACTGTTATGGTTGTATAGCTGAATGTAAGCATTTTATTATTCTAAAGCTTTTTTAAAAAAATTAATGTTTAGGTATGGAGCTTCTATAAATAGGAAAGTATTATCACATATTAAATTCCTACATTAAGAGCTTTGGAGAAATGTTCAATCAGAAAATCATGAAATATACTGATAATGTTGGTGTAATTGCAGGCTAGAGCAGACATTCATGAATAATGTATAGAACTGCAGTGTTTTGAAGGTTGGGGATGAGATTATGGAAAGGATCCATATCATTCTTAGTATTGATCTACATAGAAAACTAATTTGTTCATCAGTATTTGTATCAGTATAATTATAAATAAATTGATGTCTTCAGAAAAAAAAGTTCATGCCTACATTATATATCACAAACTAGAAATCTGTCTTCCATTTGAGCCATGCTAGCTCGTCGGAAATGAATAGTCTTTTAATGACAAATAGAATTGAGGACCAGTAAGAAGGGAAAATATTTCATCCTTTGACTTGCTCCATCATGACTGAGGACAAATTCTGAAAGTTCTATAGAGATCACAGAAGGAGAACAAATAATTACATAATTTGCATGGAAATTCAAAAAACGTTGGATAGCCAAAGCAATATTGTGAAAGAAGTATGGAATTGGAGGAACCAAGCTGCCTGACTTCAGGCTACATTACAAAGTTACAGTCATCAAGACAATATGGAACCAGCAGAAAGACAGAAATACAGGTCAGGAACAAAATGGAAACCCAGAGATAAATCCACCTACCTATGGACAGCTTGTCTTTGATGAAGGAGGAAAGAGTATACAATGGAGAAAAGACAAGCTCTTTAACATGTGGTACTGGGAAAACTGGTCAGCTACTTGGAAAGAATGAGACTAGAAGACTTTCTAACCCCATGTACAAGAATAAACTCAAAACGCATTAAAGATCTAAATGTAATACCAGAAACTATAAAAGTCCTAGAGGAAAACATAGGCAAAACATTCTTTGACATCAATCCCAGCACGGTAACTCAAGGACCCACCTCCCAGAGGAATGGAAATAAAAGCAAAAAATAAGTGAATAGGACCTAATTTAACTGAAAAGCTTTTGCACAACAAAGAAAGTATAAGCAAGATGAAAAGTCAGGCTTCAGAATGGGAGAAACTCATAGCAAATGAAGCAATGGACAATGAATTGATCTCAAAATTATGCAAGCAGCCCCTGAAGCTCAATTCCAGAAAAATAAATGATCCATTCAAAAAACGGGCCAAAGAACTAAACAGACACTTCTCCAAATAAGACATCCATATGGCTAACAAACACATGAAAAGATGCTCAAAATCACTCATTATCAGAGAAAGGCAAATCAAATGCACGATGAGGGACCATCTCACGTTGGTCAGAAGGGCTCCTATCAAAAAGTCTACAAAGAATAAGTGCTGGAGAGGAACAGTGTGGAGATTCCTCAGAAATTGGAAATGGAACCTCCCTACCACCCAGGAATCCCGCTGCTGGGCATACACACTAAGGAAACCAGAATTGAAAGAGACGCGTGTACCCCAATATTCATCACAGTACTGTTTATACTAGCCAGGACATGGAAGCAACCTAGATCTCCATGGGCAGACAAATGGATAAGCAGCCATGCTTCATATGTACAGTGGAACACTACTCAGCTATTAAAAAGAATGCATTTGCATCAGTTCAAATGAGGTGGATGAAGCTGGAGCCTATTTTAGACTGAAGGAAGTTAGAAAGAAAAACACCAATCCAGTATATTAATCATATAAATTGAATTTAGAAAAATGGTAACAATGACCCTATATGTGGGACAGCAAGAGAGACACAAAGGTAAAAACAGACTCTTGGACTCTGTGAGAGAAGGTGAGAGTGGGATGATTTGAGCAAATATCATTGAAACATGTATGTGAAACAGATTTCCACTAGAGCTTGGATGCATGAGGCAGGGTGCTCTGCGCTTTTGTGGTGGGACGATCCTGAGGGATGGGATGGGGAGGGAGGCGGGAAGGGGGCTCAGGATGGGGAACACATGTACATCCATGGCTCGTTCATGACAATATATGGCAAAACCACTATAATATTGTAAAGTATTTAGACTGCAAATGAAATAAATCAGTTAAAATGAAAGTACTTACAAAAAAGAAAAACAGGCAGCACACCCAGGGTTCTTTCACTCATAAATCTTAAATCACATTCAGTGACTGACTTTGAATCATCAGTGGGGTCACCCAGGCATTAGAGTGCCAGAAAATGTGAATCAGGCAGCTGCAGTCCAGATCAAAGTTGATATATCATTGAGTTCCAATTTGAACACAACACTTTCGATGCTGATAGTGAAACTCTGTGTTCTGGTTGCTTCTAAATTGTTTCCTGAAGACACACACGATTCTCATCATCAGAACCTCTGCCTTATATATCTCCATATTTGTTTAAATTCTCTTTGAAATTTTTAAAATATTTCAACCTGAAAGTTAACATCAAATTTGATATTGCATTCTCTTTCTTTTAAACCATGATAAACTTCTAGAAGTTGGACTCACAAAAGACTTTATTTATCCATCATCAGTGCAGACTCCTAACCCACTCCACACCTCTACTCTCTGGCTAACTGGGGACCCGTGGGTCTGTTCCCCAACCTCTCAGGACCACATATCCCTCCCGTTTCAAGTGCCCAACTCTTCTCTTCTTTCCCTCCCTTAAATCAGAAAATTCACACACACACACATATCATCTTTGCACCATTTGAGATTTCTTTTATTTGCAGCCATCAGCTTACTATGTTAGTGTGAGAGTCTTTTTTGGTTGGCCATTGCTAACAAAGCAGACCCCTGGAGACACAATTCTAAACTGTCTCACCTTTGCTATTCATTAACTGGCTGCCAACGTTGTACTTCTCCAGGGTCTCTTACTTTGGGGCGGCTGAGCTTATTTTCTCTTTGGATTCTGCCTCCTTCCATGACTTTGTCTCATATTTTGGTACCTTTTTCGGCTTCGATTTGATTTCTTACGTCCACAGCCAGAGAAGGAAAGGTTTGCTTTTCTTGTTTTCTTTCGCTTCGTCGATTGAGTGGCATACGATCGGATTTTCTTTCTGAAGGCCCCTTGTAGAGGTCTTCTGACCCTCATAGTCATATTTCGTGCCTGGAAGACAAGACAAGGGTATCAGTTTGGAGGAAAGGACATAAAAACTGAGGTGGAAGGGAGATTTCATGAGAAAGAAATGTGAGATAAGGGGGACATTTGTGCCAGGCATGGGCAGGGTAGAGGTCTTGGGCACCAAAGTCAAAGCAGATCATGGGAAGCTTAGTTGGAGTCCTCTTACCTTCACACCACGTCTGCCCCTCCTTTGACAAAGGGTCTTCTTCATTCCATTCTTCCTTGAAGCAAACCGCATTGCAACTCTTCTTGACGGCCGTGGCTTCCTGGTTGCCTTAGTCATGATGGTGCCAAGAAGTGGCCTAACCCAGGCTTTCAGCCTCTGACCTCCCTATTTATACCCTTTGAGGACAATGAAGAGCCACACCTTTCAATCTGATTGGTCCGTTAGGCACTGCCCCAGCCAGTAGTAGCTTGTGGGGCTTAGACATCACAATGCACCACTGTGACCATCAACATGGGCTAGTGGATGCTGAGGGAGACCGTGATATAACTTTCCCACTGCTGACATGTCTGTGTGCCTGATTCTGGGGAGTGGTGATTCAGGGGCCTGGTGCTTCTCCTCATGACCTTCAAACTTCCTTTGCGTTCCCTTTATCCTTTGACTTATATGTGCCACTTCAACCCTCATGCCTCTTTCATCCCTCTAGGAACATCTGCCTAACCTTTTCTGTCCCACTTCATCCCTTCAGAGTCCTCTAAGCACTTCATCTCTAGATCACCATCTGCCTCTTGGGGATTCCTGAGGGGCTTAAGGAACTTAAGAGAAAGCACTTAAAGTGGACAAAGGTAAGGAAGAGCAGGTTGGATGTTTTATCTACTGTGGTGAGCTTCAGCGACCCCCAGACTTGGTGAATCCTCAGTCTGTTGCCCAAAGTTCAATATACAGTCTCCATCAGAGTACACATCAGAGCAAAGACAGTTTTAAATGTCTCCACCACTAAATTTTTTGGGGACACTTCAACTCTCATATTGAGTAGGGAAACTCAACGTGCCCCATCTATCAGAAAAAAATTCCTGACTTTTGCTTTTTACAAAAGGAACGTGCTCAAAGTCAAGAATCAGTTCACCACTGCATCGCTGACTCTTGACTGAATCAATTCCCCAGTCACCCCTCCTTGACCGTTCTCAGTAGGTAGGGCCCATTGCAGTGCTGACCAATAGCTGGGCAGGGCAAGTCCCTGTAGGTAGCTCATTGATAGTTGGTTGCTTGTGGGTGGGGCCAGTGAGGCACTGACCAATGGCTGAGCAAGTCCTGTTGCCTAGTAACAGGAGGCGGAGTAATAAGGCACAGCAATGGCTACCTGGGCAGGGCTCTGCCCAGGAACACTTTGGGTCCAGTGTGCTGGCATCTTTTTGACTGAGTCCTTTCCAACCTCAGATTTTTATTTCACATGCTTATTTAACTTTTGCCCATCATTCTTTCCGTTCTCTTCCCAGGCATTCCTGTCACCAGCGCTTATCTCTATGCCCCTCCAACAGATGCCACTTGATCACATGTTCAGCATATAGTATGCATAGTTCAAAACCAACAAGAATGTGCAGGCCAGCCCACGTTGAAAACTACTTTGAGAAACCTTAACTTCACAGTGATTTTTTTTTCTATTTACAGTGTAACAGAGCAGGATGAGCACAGCCCTGAAGAGGGAGACTTTGGTGTGCTCCATTTCAACCCACCCTGTTCCTAGGCAACAGGTGTTGCTCAACCATTGCTTGGTGCCTCAGAGGGCCCCATCCACAAGCAAACAATTGTAAATGAGTGACTGTTAGCTGTCCTGCTTAGCTATTGGGCAGCACTGCAGTGGGCAATGCCCGCAGGTTACTGTCAGTGAGGGACCTTTGGGGAAGCAATGAATTCAAGGGTGGTGTGGTGGCACTCAGGGGGAGACTGAGGCAAGAGGCAGAGTCAGGCCTTCTTCCGGAGGCCCTGGAGCTCATGCCGACTTGGGCCAGTGGGTGAGCTGGAGGGTCCAGGGAATAGCCTGGGGACTACATGCTGTAGCGCTCTTTTGTTCCTCTTTGCTGTCTGCCTTCAGGGTGTTGTCGCCTGCATATCTGAGGTGATTGATACTTCTCCCAGCAATCTTCCAGCTTGTGCTTCATCCAGTCTTGCATTTCTCATGATGTACTCTGCATAGAAGTTAAATAAGCAGGATGACAACATACAGCCTTAACATACCCCTTTCCCAATTTCGAACCAGTCTGATGTTTCATGTCCGGTTCTAACTCATGCTGCTTTCCCTGCATTCAGAGTTCTCAGGAGGCAGGTAAGAGGGCCTGGTAGTCCCATCTCTTGCAGGATTTCCCACAATTTGTTCTGATCCACACAAGACAATGCTTGAGCCTAGTCAGTGAAGCAGATGCTTTTCTGGAATTGTCTTGCTTTTTCTATGATCCTACAGATGCTGTCCATTTGATCTCTTGTTCCTCTGCCTTTTCTTAGTCAAGCTTGAACATCTGGAAATTATTGGTTCATGTATTGTTGAAGCCTAGCTTGAAGAATACTCATCATATTTTTGGTAGTGTGTGAGATGACCCTATCCCCATAGTCATTTCAAATCAAGCTCCTTCTTACATTAATCTGGATTTGTTTTATTTCATTGCAAAAATGGACAAAAATTCTTTGGTGATATGCTTATTTCCCACTTCACAGGTATTAATTCACTCCCTGTGTTATTTCAGGCATCCTTGTGAGTGCAAGGCGCACATCAGGAGCCAATACTCAGGACCCTGGTTTCATGGGGCTAACATTCTGGTCAGTGAGGATGGACGGTTCATACTAACCACAAATAATCAATTATACAGTATAGCGAGAACGTTATGAGTTTTGAGAAACGGGGAGTCTTTCCTTCCCTGAGGATAAGGATGGAAGGCCTTATGAACGCAGGACATTTAAGCAAAGACTTAATTAAAGAAAAGAGGGAGTGACTGTGTGGCTATCTTGGGCAATAAAGACCGGGGAGAGGAAAAGGCCAGGGCAAAAGCCCCCAAAAGGCATTGTCTATGTCCTTCCAATAAAACACGGAGGCTGGTGCAAGTGGGACCAGGTGAGTGAGGATGAGACTAGAAAGTGATGAGCTGCGGATGAGAGAGAACAGGGCAAGAAAAAGAGGAATGTAATGGTAAACTTATCTTTCCATTTACATGATGAATTGATTCACCGGACACAAACGACACTGGGCTGTGGTGGTAAAAGGGAGAGGCATTTGTCACAGTCTGATGGCAAGGAGGTTGGAGAGGAGTACTTTTCAGTAAAGACACCCGAGATGAATCCTGAGCCAGCTAAAGTAGATAGATCAAGTGGAAAGCTGTGAAAATGTTTCCCAGACAGTGAGGGAGAACGTGCCAAGGCACCGAGACCCAAGAGACCTGGCTATACATGCCTTGCCTATGACTGGAATCTAAGGTATGATGGGGAAATTGTGAAGGAACATGGCTTTGGAGGAAGAGGGTGGAACCTGAAGGGACACTTGGGCATATGTTACACTACTGTCTGGGTTACCCTGCTTTGAAAGAGCATTATTAATATTTTCTAAATGTAAATATACACTCGAGGCAAACCAGTATGGAAATTGCAAAACGGACTACAAAAATGAAATTAGAGGACACCCATAAGTGTGTCAATAGACATATATACTGTTCATATTCTGCCTTTGTTGTTCTGCCTAAACCTTTATAACATATATTTTATATGTGTTATATACTGTGAAATATATACATATAATACACATATATTTAGATGAGCCTATGTACATCAGTGTTTTTTTTTTTTAATTTATACAAATTGAATCAATCTTTATGCTATGTTGTAACCTTCCTTTTCTATACCATATGCTGGGAGAATGTTTCCACCACAACAAACATGTAACTACCAGTATTTCTGAGGATTACTGTGGTGTTCAAATGCTTGCTTATCCCATACCCCATGCAAGTGCTATGAAGACAGGAACCATGTGCATCTTGCTCACTGGTTGCTTCCATATCTCTTCGATTGTAAGGAAGGATGTAATAAACTTTGGGGTACATGTATCTCTTCAAATTAGTGTTCATTTTCTTCTGATGTAGAGCTAGGTGTGGAATAGCTGGGCCACATGGGAGATCTATTTTTAGTGTTTTTAAGAAACTTCCACATTGTTTTCCACGGTGAGTGCACAAATATACATTCCCACCAGTTATGCACAAGGGCTTCCTTGAGTCCATATCCTTGCCACCATATGTTATTTTCAGATTTTTGGCTTGACGATAGCCATTCTGACAGCTGTGAGGTGATATCTCCCAGTGATTTTCATTTCTCTTTCTCTAACTATTCGTGATGTTCAGCATTTTTCCATATGCCTATTAACTCATACTGGAAGTCCTCTTTCTAGTCTGGTTCTTTAAGTTAAGCTGAAAAACTTTCAAGTTCTTACAATCATCAATAACATGTTCCATTTTCTTGTTGAATAGTATTCTCTCGGATGAATGCACCATTTGTATATTGGTTTACCATTTGAATAACATCTGAGTTCTTGCCAGTTTGGGGCTATTATTAATAGAGTCACAGTAAACATTGGCATGAAGCCTTTTATGTGAAGAGAAATTCATGTTTTACGCGGGAGTTATTTTCGGAATGGGATTACACAGTTTTCCAGTGTGCAGATATTTATGAGCAATGAAAAACATTTCCCAAAATGTCTTTATCATTTTTCATTCTGATGAGTCATTGAGGAGAGTTTCAGGTTCTCTCTTTTCCTGAGAGTTGTTTATGTTCTCAGTTATTTTATTGCTTTTATCCAAGATACAATTTGCATACTTAATATGCATTCAGTACTAATTACTAATTATTTTAGTTACTTTTAGGTGTTTATGAGTCACCTGTACAACGTATGTCCTATCTTATGTCAAGCAATTGCTATTCTAATATTTTCCCACATTTAATTGGATTATCTGTTCTCTTATTAGTGAGTTTCAGAGCTCTTATGTATTTTGGTTATAATATATTTTGTATGAATATTGATGTGTATTTGTGGGTGTTTGTGTGTATGTGAAATATATTTGTATTTGCATAACCAGCTGAAGAGAGAGAACTATTCTGTAAACTTATAGGAATTCCCTAATACCACAGTGGTATATTCTTTGTCCATAGTCCCTTAAGACTACTGATTTCTTTTCCATGTCTCCAATTTTGTCATTTTGATAATAATATGTACGTGGAATCATAAAGTACATGTCGTTTTAAGATTGGCCTCTGTTTTACTTTGGCATGCACTTGAGATTCATTCATGTTGTCACGTGTATTAATATTTTCTCCCATTTTTTGATGAGAAATATTACTGGTATGGTTAACTGGGTCACAGGTATGGTGGTATGGTTATGTAACTATGGTTAAACCACAGTTGAACCATTCACTCATTGAAGGACCTCTAGCCTCTCTACATTTTTAGCTATTACAAGCAAAGTTTCAATGAAAATTCATGTAAAAGCTTTTATGTTCCTTTCTCTAAAATAAATATGCAGGAATAGAATTTCTGGGTCAAATCATACTTGAATGTTTATAGCATGTTGTATAATAAAGTGTCAAATTGTTTTTCAGGAGAGCTGTACCATTTATACTCTCACAAGAAATGTATGAATAACCAGTTTCTCTGCATCCTTGCCACCTTATTGTGTGGTCATGTTTTAACAATGTGTAGCCACTTTCACTGATAGAGAGCAGTTAGAACTCTTGATAGTTTCCCTGTGCGTTTCCGTCATAGCCAATATGCTCAGCATCTTTGCCTGTGCTTCTTGGCCATTGCTGTGACTTCGTTGGCCAAGTTTTTGTTCAAGTCTTTCAATGATCTTGATCATTTTCTATTGAGTGTCTCTTTTCACCTGATGACTTTGAGATTTTTCAATAAATGTTTTTCATTCCTAGTTATTTTCCATGCCATTATATTTGTTGGAGTTTTGCACATGTCAAATTATTAATATTTTAGGTTTATGCATTCTGACACAATGGATTTAGCCTAAATGTGAGGAACATCAGTTTCTGCATGGCTTTCTTCTAGAACTATAAGCTATTTTTACTTTTTCTATGTTCGTTTGCTTTTCCATATATATGCTAATATATACATTTATAAGTTTCTCTGTGTAAGTCAGGATAGTATACATAGGCCACATCCTATATATAGGATACATCTATAGAAAAGATTCTACTTGTTTTGCTCTTTGAGAAGGATCCTAGCTCTGAAAAATAATTTTAATAAAAAATGCAGGGAAGTCGAGTATTGATTTATGGAATAGACAAGGTTTCTTGGTAAGACGGCCATTCAAAAGTCTATCAAGTACTGTTATGGTTGTATAGCTGAATGTAAGCATTTTATTATTCTAAAGCTTTTTAAAAAAAAATTAATGTTTATGTATGGAGCTTCTATAAATAGGAAAGTATTATCACATATTAAATTCCTACATTAAGAGCTTTGGAGAAATGTTCAATCAGAAAATCATGAAATATACTGACAATGTTGGTGTAATTGCAGGCTAGAGCAGACATTCATGAATAATGTATAGAACTGCAGTGTTTTGAAGGTTGGGGATGAGATTATGGAAAGGATCCATATCATTCTTAGTATTGATCTACATAGAAAACTAATTTGTTCATCAGTATTTGTATCAGTATAATTATAAATAAATTGATGTCTTCAGAAAAAAAAGTTCATGCCTACATTATATATCACAAACTAGAAATCTGTCTTCCATTTGAGCCATGCTAGCTCGTCGGAAATGAATAGTCTTTTAATGACAAAGAGAATTGAGGACCAGTAAGAAGGGAAAATATTTCATCCTTTGACTTGCTCCATCATGACTGAGGACAAATTCTGAAAGTTCTATAGAGATCACAGAAGGAGAACAAATAATTACATAATTTGCATGGAAATTCAAAAAACGTTGGATAGCCAAAGCAATATTGTGAAAGAAGTATGGAATTGGAGGAACCAAGCTGCCTGACTTCAGGTTATACTACAAAGTTACAGTCATCAAGACAATATGGAACCAGCAGAAAGACAGAAATACAGGTCAGGAACAAAATGGAAACCCAGAGATAAATCCACCTACCTATGGACAGCTTGTCTTTGACGAAGGAGGCAAGAGTATACAATGGAGAAAAGACAAGCTCTTTAACATGTGGTACTGGGAAAACTGGTCAGCTACTTGGAAAGAATGAGACTAGAAGACTTTCTAACCCCATGTACAAGAATAAACTCAAAACGCATTAAAGATCTAAATGTAATACCAGAAACTATAAAACTCCTAGAGGAAAACATAGGCAAAATATTCTTTGACATCAATCCCAGCACGGTAACTCAAGGACCCACCTCCCAGAGGAATGGAAATAAAAGCAAAAAATAAGTGAATAGGACCTAATTTAACTTAAAAGCTTTTGCACAACAAAGAAAGTATAAGCAAGATGAAAAGTCAGGCTTCAGAATGGGAGAAACTCATAGCAAATGAAGCAATGGACAATGAATTGATCTCAAAATTGTGCAAGCAGCGCCTGAAGCTCAATTCCAGAAAAATAAATGATCCATTCAAAAAACGGGCCAAAGAACTAAACAGACACTTCTCCAAATAAGACATCCATATGGCTAACAAACACATGAAAAGATGCTCAAAATCACTCATTATCAGAGAAAGGCAAATCAAATGCACGATGAGGGACCATCTCACGTTGGTCAGAAGGGCTCCTATCAAAAAGTCTACAAAGAATAAGTGCTGGAGAGGAACAGTGTGGAGATTCCTCAGAAATTGGAAATGGAACTTCCCTACCACCCAGGAATCCCGCTGCTGGGCATACACACTAAGGAAACCAGAATTGAAAGAGACGCGTGTACCCCAATATTCATCACAGTACTGTTTATACTAGCCAGGACATGGAAGCAACCTAGATCTCCATGGGCAGACGAATGGATAAGCAGCCTTGCTTCATATGCACAGTGGAACACTACTCAGCTATTAAAAAGAATGCATTTGCATCAGTTCAAATGAGGTGGATGAAGCTGGAGCCTATTTTAGACTGAAGGAAGTTAGAAAGAAAAACACCAATCCAGGATATTAATCATATAAATGGAATTTAGAAAAATGGTAACAATGACCCTATATGTGGGACAGCAAGAGAGACACAAAGGTAAAAACAGACTCTTGGACTCTGTGAGAGAAGGTGAGAGTGGGATGATTTGAGCAAATAGCATTGAAACATGTATGTGAAACAGATTTCAACTAGAGCTTGGATGCATGAGGCAGGGTGCTCTGGGCTTTTGTGGTGGGACGATCCTGAGGGATGGGATGGGGAGGGAGGCGGGAAGGGGGCTCAGGATGGGGAACACATGTACATCCATGGCTCGTTCATGACAATATATGGCAAAACCACTATAATATTGTAAAGTATTTAGCCTGCAAATGAAATAAATCAATTAAAATGAAAGTACTTACAAAAAAGAAAAACAGGCAGCACACCCAGGGGTCTTTCACTCATAAATCTTAAATCACATTCAGTGACTGACTTTGAATCATCAGTGGGGTCACCCAGGCATTAGAGTGCCAGAAAATGTGAATCAGGCAGCTGCAGTCCAGATCAAAGTTGACATATCATTGAGTTCCAATTTGAACACAACACTTTCGATGCTGATAGTGAAACTCTGTGTTCTGGTTGCTTCTAAATTGTTTCCTGAAGACACACACGATTCTCATCATCAGAACCTCTGCCTTATATATCTCCATATTTGTTTAAATTCTCTTTGAAATTTTTAAAATATTTCAACCTGAAAGTTAACACCAAATTTGATATTGCATTCTCTTTCTTTTAAACCATGATAAACTTCTAGAAGTTGGACTCACAAAAAACTTTATTTATCCATCATCAGTGCAGACTCCTAACCCACTCCACACCTCTACTCTCTGGCTAACTGGGGACCCGTGGGTCTGTTCCCCAACCTCTCAGGACCACATATCCCTCCCGTTTCAAGTGCCCAACTCTTCTCTTCTTTCCCTCCCTTAAATCAGAAAATTCACACACACACACATATCATCTTTGCACCATTTGAGATTTCTTTTATTTGCAGCCATCAGCTTACTATGTTAGTGTGAGAGTCTTTTTTGGTTGGCCATTGCTAACAAAGCAGACCCCTGGAGACACAATTCTAAACTGTCTGACCTTTGCTATTCATTAACTGGCTGCCAACGTTGTACTTCTCCAGGGTCTCTTACTTTGGGGCGGCTGAGCTTATTTTCTCTTTGGATTCTGCCTCCTTCCATGACTTTGTCTCATATTTTGGTACCTTTTTCGGCTTCGATTTGATTTCTTACCTCCACAGCCAGAGAAGAAAAGGTTTGCTTTTCTTGTTTTCTTTGGCTTCGTCGATTGAGTGGCATACGATCGGATTTTCTTTCTGAAGGCCCCTTGTAGAGGTCTTCTGACCCTCATGGTCATATTTCGTGCCTGGAAGAGAAGACAAGCGTATCAGTTTGGAAGAAAGGACATAAAAACTGAGGTGGAAGGGAGATTTCATGAGAAAGAAATGTGAGCTAAGGGGGACATTTGTGCCAGGCATGGGCAGGGTAGAGGTCTTGGGCACCAAAGTCAAAGCAGATCATGGGAAGCTTAGTTGGAGTCCTCTTACCTTCACACCACGTCTGCCCCTCCTTTGACAAAGGGTCTTCTTCATTCCATTCTTCCTTGAAGCAAACCGCATTGCAACTCTTCTTAACGGCCGTGGCTTCCTGGTTGCCTTAGTCATGATGGTGCCAAGAAGTGGCCTAACCCAGGCTTTCAGCCTCTGACCTCCCTATTTATACCCTTTGAGGACAATGAAGAGCCACACCTTTCAATCTGATTGGTCCGTTAGGCACTGCCCCAGCCAGTAGTAGCTTGTGGGGCTTAGACATCACAATGCACCACTGTGACCATCAACATGGGCTAATGGATGCTGAGGGAGACCGTGATATAACTTTCCCACTGCTGACATGTCTGTGTGCCTGATTCTGGGGAGTGGTGATTCAGGGGCCTGGTGCTTCTCCTCATGACCTTCAAACTTCCTTTGCGTTCCCTTTATCCTTTGACTTATATGTGCCACTTCAACCGTCATGCCTCTTTCATCCCTCTAGGAACATCTGCCTAACCTTTTCTGTCCCACTTCATCCCTTCAGAGTCCTCTAAGCACTTCATCTCTAGATCACCATCTGCCTCTTGGGGATTCCTGAGGGGCTTAAGGAACTTAAGAGAAAGCACTTAAAGTGGACAAAGGTAAGGAAGAGCAGGTTGGATGTTTTATCTACTGTGGTGAGCTTCAGCGACCCCCAGACTTGGTGAATACTCAGTCTGTTGCCCAAAGGTCAATATACAGTCTCCATCAGAGTACACATCAGAGCAAAGACAGTTTTAAATGTCTCCACCACTAAATTTTTTGGGGACACTTCAACTCTCATATTGAGTAGGGAAACTCAACGTGCCCCATCTATCAGAAAAAAATTCCTGACTTTTGCTTTTTACAAAAGGAAGGTGCTCAAAGTCAAGAATCAGTTCACCACTGCATCGCTGACTCTTGACTGAATCAATTCCCCAGTCACCCCTCCTTGACCGTTCTCAGTAGGTAGGGCCCATTGCAGTGCTGACCAATAGCTGGGCAGGGCAAGTCCCTGTAGGTAGCTCATTGATAGTTGGTTGCTTGTGGGTGGGGCCAGTGAGGCACTGACCAATGGCTGAGCAAGTCCTGTTGCCTAGTAACAGGAGGCGGAGTAATAAGGCACAGCAATGGCTACCTGGGCAGGGCTCTGCCCAGGAACACTTTGGGTCCAGTGTGCTGGCATCTTTTTGACTGAGTCCTTTCCAACCTCAGATTTTTATTTCACATGCTTATTTAACTTTTGCCCATCATTCTTTCCGTTCTCTTCCCAGGCATTCCTGTCACCAGCGCTTATCTCTATGCCCCTCCAACAGATGCCACTTGATCACATGTTCAGCATATAGTATGCATAGTTCAAAACCAACAAGAATGTGCAGGCCAGCCCACGTTGAAAACTACTTTGAGAAACCTTAACTTCACAGTGATTTTTTTTCTATTTACAGTGTAACAGAGCAGGATGAGCACAGCCCTGAAGAGGGAGACTTTGGTGGGCTCCATTTCAACCCACCCTGTTCCTAGGCAACAGGTGTTGCTCAACCATTGCTTGGTGCCTCAGAGGGCCCCATCCACAAGCAAACAATTGTAAATGAGTGACTGTTAGCTGTCCTGCTTAGCTATTGGGCAGCACTGCAGTGGGCAATGCCCGCAGGTTACTGTCAGTGAGGGACCTTTGGGGAAGCAATGAATTCAAGGGTGGTGTGGTGGCACTCAGGGGGAGACTGAGGCAAGAGGCAGAGTCAGGCCTTCTTCCGGAGGCCCTGGAGCTCATGCCGACTTGGGCCAGTGGGTGAGCTGGAGGGTCCAGGGAATAGCCTGGGGACTACATGCTGTAGCGCTCTTTTGTTCCTCTTTGCTGTCTGCCTTCAGGGTGTTGTCGCCTGCATATCTGAGGTGATTGATACTTCTCCCAGCAATCTTCCAGCTTGTGCTTCATCCAGTCTTGCATTTCTCATGATGTACTCTGCATATACGTTAAATAAGCGGGATGACAACATACAGCCTTAACATACCCCTTTACCAATTTCGAACCAGTCTGATGTTTCATGTCCGGTTCTAACTCATGCTGCTTTCCCTGCATTCAGAGTTCTCAGGAGGCAGGTAAGAGGGCCTGGTAGTCCCATCTCTTGCAGGATTTCCCACAATTTGTTCTGATCCACACAAGACAATGCTTGAGCCTAGTCAGTGAAGCAGATGCTTTTCTGGAATTGTCTTGCTTTTTCTATGATCCTACAGATGCTGTCCATTTGATCTCTTGTTCCTCTGCCTTTTCTTAGTCAAGCTTGAACATCTGGAAATTCTTGGTTCATGTATTGTTGAAGCCTAGCTTGAAGAATACTCAGCATATTTTTGGTAGTGTGTGAGATGACCCTATCCCCATAGTCATTTCAAATCAAGCTCCTTCTTACATTAGTCTGGATTTGTTTTATTTCATTGCAAAAATGGACAAAAATTCTTTGGTGATATGCTTATTTCCCACTTCACAGGTATTAATTCACTCCCTGTGTTATTTCAGGCATCCTTGTGAGTGCAAGGCGCACATCAGGAGCCAATACTCAGGACCCTGGTTTCATGGGGCTAACATTCTGGTCAGTGAGGATGGACGGTTCATACTAACCACAAATAATCAATTATACAGTATAGCGAGAACGTTATGAGTTTTGAGAAACGGGGAGTCTTTCCTTCCCTGAGGATAAGGATGGAAGGCCTTATGAACGCAGGACATTTAAGCAAAGACTTAATTAAAGAAAAGAGGGAGTGACTGTGTGGCTATCTTGGGCAATAAAGACCGGGGAGAGGAAAAGGCCAGGGCAAAAGCCCCCAAAAGGCATTGTCTATGTCCTTCCAATAAAACACGGAGGCTGGTGCAAGTGGGACCAGGTGAGTGAGGATGAGACTAGAAAGTGATGAGCTGCGGATGAGAGAGAACAGGGCAAGAAAAAGAGGAATGTAATGGTAAACTTATCGTTCCATTTACATGATGAATTGATTCACCGGACACAAACGACACTGGGCTGTGGTGGTAAAAGGGAGAGGCATTTGTCATAGTCTGATGGCAAGGAGGTGGGAGAGGAGTACTTTTCAGTAAAGACACCCGAGATGAATCCTGAGCCAGCTAAAGTAGATAAATCAAGTGGAAAGCTGTGAAAATGTTTCCCAGACAGTGAGGGAGAACGTGCCAAGGCACCGAGACCCAAGAGACCTGGCTATACATGCCTTGCCTATGACTGGAATCTAAGGTATGATGGGGAAATTGTGAAGGAACATGGCTTTGGAGGAAGAGGGTGGAACCTGAAGGGACACTTGGGCATATGTTACGTTACTGTCTGGGTTACCCTGCTTTGAAAGAGCATTATTAATATTTTCTAAATGTAAATATACACTCGAGGCAAACCAGTATGGAAATTGCAAAACGGACTACAAAAATGAAATTAGAGGACACCCATAAGTGTGTCAATAGACATATATACTGTTCATATTCTGCCTTTGTTGTTCTGCCTAAACCTTTATAACATATATTTTATATGTGTTATATACTGTGAAATATATACATATAATACACATATATTTAGATGAGCCTATGTACATCAGTGTTTTTTTTTAATTTATACAAATTGAATCAATCTTTATGCTATGTTGTAACCTTCCTTTTCTATACCATATGCTGGGAGGATGTTTCCACCACAACAAACATGTAACTACCAGTATTTCTGAGGATTACTGTGGTGTTCAAATGCTTGCTTATCCCATACCCCATGCAAGTGCTATGAAGACAGGAACCATGTGCATCTTGCTCACTGGTTGCTTCCATATCTCTTCGATTGTAAGGAAGGATGTAATAAACTTTGGGGTACATGTATCTCTTCAAATTAGTGTTCATTTTCTTCTGATGTAGAGCTAGGTGTGGAATAGCTGGGCCACATGGGAGATCTATTTTTAGTGTTTTTAAGAAACTTCCACATTGTTTTCCACGGTGAGTGCACAAATATACATTCCCACCAGTTATGCACAAGGGTTTCCTGGAGTCCATATCCTTGCCACCATATGTTATTTTCAGATTTTTGGCTTGACGATAGCCATTCTGACAGCTGTGAGGTGATATCTCCCAGTGATTTTCATTTCTCTTTCTCTAACTATTCGTGATGTTCAGCATTTTTCCATATGCCTATTAACTCATACTGGAAGTCCTCTTTCTAGTCTGGTTCTTTAAGTTAAGCTGAAAAACTTTCAAGTTCTTACAATCATCAATAACATGTTCCATTTTCTTGTTGAATAGTATTCTCTCGGATGAATGCACCATTTGTATATTGGTTTACCATTTGAATAACATCTGAGTTCTTGCCAGTTTGGGGCTATTATTAATAGAGTCACAGTAAACATTGGCATGAAGCCTTTTATGTGAAGAGAAATTCATGTTTTATGCGGGAGTTATTTTCGGAATGGGATTACACAGTTTTCCAGTGTGCAGATATTTATGAGCAATGAAAAACATTTCCCAAAATGTCTTTATCATTTTTCATTCTGATGAGTCATTGAGGAGAGTTTCAGTTTCTCTCTTTTCCTGAGAGTTGTTTATGTTCTCAGTTATTTTATTGCTTTTATCCAAGATACAATTTGCATACTTAATATGCATTCAGTACTAATTACTAATTATTTTAGTTACTTTTAGGTGTTTATGAGTCACCTGTACAACGTATGTCCTATCTTATGTCAAGCAATTGCTATTCTAATATTTTCCCACATTTAATTGGATTATCTGTTCTCTTATTAGTGAGTTTCAGAGCTCTTATGTATTTTGGTTATAATATATTTTGTATGAATATTGATGTGTATTTGTGGGTGTTTGTGTGTATGTGAAATATATTTGTATTTGCATAACCAGCTGAAGAGAGAGAACTATTCTGTAAACTTATAGGAATTCCCTAATACCACAGTGGTATATTCTTTGTCCATAGTCCCTTAAGACTACTGATTTCTTTTCCATGTCTCCAATTTTGTCATTTTGAGAATAATATGTACGTGGAATCATAAAGTACATGTCGTTTTAAGATTGGCCTCTGTTTTACTTTGGCATGCACTTGAGATTCATCCATGTTGTCACGTGTATTAATATTTTCTCCCATTTTTTGATGAGAAATATTACTGGTATGGTTAACTGGGTCACAGGTATGGTGGTATGGTTATGTAACTATGGTTAAACCACAGTTGAACCATTCACTCATTGAAGGACCTCTAGCCTCTCTACATTTTTAGCTATTACAAGCAAAGTTTCAATGAAAATTCATGTAAAAGCTTTTATGTTCCTTTCTCTAAAATAAATATGCAGGAATAGAATTTCTGGGTCAAATCATACTTGAATGTTTATAGCATGTTGTATAATAAAGTGTCAAATTGTTTTTCAGGAGAGCTGTACCATTTATACTCTCACAAGAAATGTATGAATAACAAGTTTCTCTGCATCCTTGCCACCTTATTGTGTGGTCATGTTTTAACAATGTGTAGCCACTTTCACAGATAGAGAGCAGTTAGAACTCTTGATAGTTTCCCTGTGCGTTTCCGTCATAGCCAATATGCTCAGCATCTTTGCCTGTGCTTCTTTGCCATTGCTGTGACTTCGTTGGCCAAGTTTTTGTTCAAGTCTTTCAATTATCTTGATCATTTTCTATTGAGTGCCTCTTTTCACCTGATGACTTTGAGATTTTTCAATAAATGTTTTTCATTCCTAGTTATTTTCCATGCCATTATATTTGTTGGAGTTTTGCACATGTCAAATTATTAATATTTTAGGTTTATGCATTCTGACACAATGGATTTAGCCTAAATGTGAGGAACATCAGTTTCTGCATGGCTTTCTTCTAGAACTATAAGCTATTTTTACTTTTTCTATGTTCGTTTGCTTTTCCATATATATGCTAATATATACATTTATAAGTTTCTCTGTGTAAGTCAGGATAGTATACATAGGCCACATCCTATATATAGGATACATCTATAGAAAAGATTCTACTTGTTTTGCTCTTTGAGAAGGACCCTAGCTCTGAAAAATAATTTTAATAAAAAATGCAGGGAAGTCGAGTATTGATTTATGGAATAGACAGGGTTTCTTGGTAAGACGGCCATTCAAAAGTCTATCAAGTACTGTTATGGTTGTATAGCTGAATGTAAGCATTTTATTATTCTAAAGCTTTTTTAAAAAAATTAATGTTTAAGTATGGAGCTTCTATAAATAGGAAAGTATTATCACATATTAAATTCCTACATTAAGAGCTTTGGAGAAATGTTCAATCAGAAAATCATGAAATATACTGACAATGTTGGTGTACTTGCAGGCTAGAGCAGACATTCATGAATAATGTATAGAACTGCAGTGTTTTGAAGGTTGGGGATGAGATTATGGAAAGGATCCATATCATTCTTAGTATTGATCTACATAGAAAACTAAATTGTTCATCAGTATTTGTATCAGTATAATTATAAATAAATTGATGTCTTTAGAAAAAAAAGTTCATGCCTACATTATATATCACAAACTAGAAATCTGTCTTCCATTTGAGCCATGCTAGCTCGTCGGAAATGAATAGTCTTTTAATGACAAATAGAATTGAGGACCAGTAAGAAGGGAAAATATTTCATCCTTTGACTTGCTCCATCATGACTGAGGACAAATTCTGAAAGTTCTATAGAGATTACAGAAGGAGAACAAATAATTACATAATTTGCATGGAAATTCAAAAAACGTTGGATAGCCAAAGCAATATTGTAAAAGAAGTATGGAATTGGAGGAACCAAGCTGCCTGACTTCAGGTTATACTACAAAGTTACAGTCATCAAGACAATATGGAACCAGCAGAAAGACAGAAATACAGGTCAGGAACAAAATGGAAACCCAGAGATAAATCCACCTACCTATGGACAGCTTGTCTTTGACGAAGGAGGCAAGAGTATACAATGGAGAAAAGACAAGCTCTTTAACATGTGGTACTGGGAAAACTGGTCAGCTACTTGGAAAGAATGAGACTAGAAGACTTTCTAACCCCATGTACAAGAATAAACTCAAAACGCATTAAAGATCTAAATGTAATACCAGAAACTATAAAAGTCCTAGAGGAAAACATAGGCAAAACATTCTTTGACATCAATCCCAGCACGGTAAGTCAAGGACCCACCTCCCAGAGGAATGGAAATAAAAGCAAAAAATAAGTGAATAGGACCTAATTTAACTTAAAAGCTTTTGCACAACAAAGAAAGTATAAGCAAGATGAAAAGTCAGGCTTCAGAATGGGAGAAACTCATAGCAAATGAAGCAATGGACAATGAATTGATCTCAAAATTATGCAAGCAGCCCCTGAAGCTCAATTCCAGAAAAATAAATGATCCATTCAAAAAACGGGCCAAAGAACTAAACAGACACTTCTCCAAATAAGACATCCATATGGCTAACAAACACATGAAAAGATGCTCAAAATCACTCATTATCAGAGAAAGGCAAATCAAATGCACGATGAGGGACCATCTCACGTTGGTCAGAAGGGCTCCTATCAAAAAGTCTACAAAGAATAAGTGCTGGAGAGGAACAGTGTGGAGATTCCTCAGAAATTGGAAATGGAACTTCCCTACCACCCAGGAATCCCGCTGCTGGGCATACACACTAAGGAAACCAGAATTGAAAGAGACGCGTGTACCCCAATATTCATCACAGTACTGTTTATACTAGCCAGGACATGGAAGCAACCTAGATGTCCATGGGCAGACGAATGGATAAGCAGCCATGCTTCATATGCACAGTGGAACACTACTCAGCTATTAAAAAGAATGCATTTGCATCAGTTCAAATGAGGTGGATGAAGCTGGAGCCTATTTTAGACTGAAGGAAGTTAGAAAGAAAAACAACAATCCAGTATATTAAACATATAAATGGAATTTAGAAAAATGGTAACAATGACCCTATATGTGGGACAGCAAGAGAGACACAAAGGTAAAAACAGACTCTTGGACTCTGTGAGAGAAGGTGAGAGTGGGATGATTTGAGCAAATATCATTGAAACATGTATGTGAAACAGATTTCCACTAGAGCTTGGATGCATGGGGCAGGGTGCTCTGGGCTTTTGTGGTGGGAAGATCCTGACGGATGGGATGGGGAGGGAGGCGGGAAGGGGGCTCAGGATGGGGAACACATGTACATCCATGGCTCGTTCATGACAATATATGGCAAAACCACTATAATATTGTAAAGTATTTAGCCTGCAAATGAAATAAATCAATTAAAATGAAAGAACTTACAAAAAAGAAAAACAGGCAGCACACCGAGGGGCCTTTCACTCATAAATCTTAAATCACATTCAGTGACTGACTTTGAATCATCAGTGGGGTCACCCAGGCATTAGAGTGCCAGAAAATGTGAATCAGGCAGCTGCAGTCCAGATCAAAGTTGACATATCATTGAGTTCCAATTTGAACACAACACTTTCGATGCTGATAGTGAAACTCTGTGTTCTGGTTGCTTCTAAATTGTTTCCTGAAGACACACAGGATTCTCATCATCAGAACCTCTGCCTTATATATCTCCATATTTGTTTAAATTCTCTTTGAAATTTTTAAAATATTTCAACCTGAAAGTTAACACCAAATTTGATATTGCATTCTCTTTCTTTTAAACCATGATAAACTTCTAGAAGTTGGACTCACAAAAGACTTTATTTATCCATCATCAGTGCAGACTCCTAACCCACTCCACACCTCTACTCTCTGGCTAACTGGGGACCCATGGGTCTGTTCCCCAACCTCTCAGGACCACATATCCCTCCCGTTTCAAGTGCCCAACTCTTCTCTTCTTTCCCTCCCTTAAATCAGAAAATTCACACACACACACATATCATCTTTGCACCATTTGAGATTTCTTTTATTTGCAGCCATCAGCTTACTATATTAGTGTGAGAGTCTTTTTTGGTTGGCCATTGCTAACAAAGCAGACCCCTGGAGACACAATTCTAAACTGTCTGACCTTTGCTATTCATTAACTGGCTGCCAACGTTGTACTTCTCCAGGGTCTCTTATTTTGGGGCGGCTGAGCTTATTTTCTCTTTGGATTCTGCCTCCTTCCATGACTTTGCCTCATATTTTGGTACCTTTTTCGGCTTCGATTTGATTTCTTACGTCCACAGCCAGAGAAGGAAAGGTTTGCTTTTCTTGTTTTCTTTCGCTTCATAGATTGAGTGGCATACGATCGGATTTTCTTTCTGAAGGTCCCTTGTAGAGGTCTTCTGACCCTCATGGCCATACTTCGTGCCTGGAAGACAAGACAAGGGTATCAGTTTGGAGGAAAGGACATAAAAACTGAGGTGGAAGGGAGATTTCATGAGAAAGAAATGTGAGCTAAGGGGGACATTTGTGCCAGGCATGGGCAGGGTAGAGGTCTTGGGCACCAAAGTCAAAGCAGATCATGGGAAGCTTTGTTGGAGTCCTCTTACCTTCACACCACGTCTGCCCCTCCTTTGACAAAGGGTCTTCTTCATTCCATTCTTCCTTGAAGCAAACCGCATTGCAACTCTTCTTGATGGCCGTGGCTTCCTGTTTGCCTTAGTCATGATGGTGCCAAGAAGTGGCCTAACCCAGGCTTTCAGCCTCTGACCTCCCTATTTATACCCTTTGAGGACAATGAAGAGCCACACCTTTCAATCTGATTCGTCCGTTAGGCACTGCCCCAGCCAGTAGTAGCTTGTGGGGCTTAGACATCACAATACACCACTGTGACCATCAACATGTGCTAGTGGATGCTGAGGGAGACCATGATATAACTTTCCCACTGCTGACATGTCTGTGTGCCTGATTCTGGGGAGTGGTGATTCAGGGGCCTGGTGCTTCTCCTCATGACCTTCAAACTTCCTTTGCGTTCCCTTTATCCTTTGACTTATATGTGCCACTTCAACCCTCATGCCTCTTTCATCCCTCTAGGAACATCTGCCTAACCTTTTCTGTCCCACTTCATCCCTTCAGAGTCCTCTAAGCACTTCATCTCTAGATCACCTTCTGCCTCTTGGGGATTCCTGAGGGGCTTAAGGAACTTAAGAGAAAGCACTTAAAGTGGACAAAGGTAAGGAAGAGCAGGTTGGATGTTTTATCTACTGTGGTGACATTCAGCGACCCCCAGACTTGGTGAATCCTCAGTCTGTTGCCCAAAGGTCCATATACAGTGTCCATCAGAGTACACATCAGAGCAAAGACAGTTTTAAATGTCTCCACCACTAAATTTTTTGGGGACACTTCAACTCTCATATTGAGTAGGGAAACTCAACTTGCCCCATCTATCAGAAAAAAATTCCTGACTTTTGCTTTTTACAAAAGGAAGGTGCTCAAAGTCAAGAATCAGTTCACCACTGCATCGCTGACTCTTGACTGAATCAATTCCCCAGTCACCCCTCCTTGACCGTTCTCAGTAGGTAGGGCCCATTGCAGTGCTGACCAATAGCTGGGCAGGGAAAGTCCCTGTAGGTAGCTCATTGATAGTTGGTTGCTTGTGGGTGGGGCCAGTGAGGCACTGACCAATGGCTGAGCAAGTCCTGTTGCCTAGTAACAGGAGGCGGAGTAATAAGGCACAGCAATGGCTACCTGGGCAGGGCTCTGCCCAGGAACACTTTGGGTCCAGTGTGCTGGCATCTTTTTGACTGAGTCCTTTCAAACCTCAGATTTTTATTTCACATGCTTATTTAACTTTTGCCCATCATTCTTTCCGTTCTCTTCCCAGGCATTCCTGTCACCAGCGCTTATCTCTATGCCCCTCCAACAGATGCCACTTGATCACATGTTCAGCATATAGTATGCATAGTTCAAAACCAACAAGAATGTGCAGGCCAGCCCACGTTGAAAACTACTTTGAGAAACCTTAACTTCACAGTGATTTTTTTTTCTATTTACAGTGTAACAGAGCAGGATGTGCACAGCCCTGAAGAGGGAGACTTTGGTGGGCTCCATTTCAACCCACCCTGTTCCTAGGCAACAGGTGTTGCTCAACCATTGCTTGGTGCCTCAGAGGGCCCCATCCACAAGCAAACAATTGTAAATGAGTGACTGTTAGCTGTCCTGCTTAGCTATTGGGCAGCACTGCAGTGGGCAATGCCCGCAGGTTACTGTCAGTGAGGGACCTTTGGGGAAGCAATGAAGTCAAGGGTGGTGTGGTGGCACTCAGGGGGAGACTGAGGCAAGAGGCAGAGTCAGGCCTTCTTCCGGAGGCCCTGGAGCTCATGCCGACTTGGGCCAGTGGGTGAGCTGGAGGGTCCAGGGAATAGCCTGGGGACTACATGCTGTAGCGCTCTTTTGTTCCTCTTTGCTGTCTGCCTTCAGGGTGTTGTCGCCTGCATATCTGAGGTGATTGATACTTCTCCCAGCAATCTTCCAGCTTGTGCTTCATCCAGTCTTGCATTTCTCATGATGTACTCTGCATATAAGTTAAATAAGCAGGATGACAACATACAGCCTTAACATACCCCTTTCCCAATTTCGAACCAGTCTGATGTTTCATGTCCGGTTCTAACTCATGCTGCTTTCCCTGCATTCAGAGTTCTCAGGAGGCAGGTAAGAGGGCCTGGTAGTCCCATCTCTTGCAGGATTTCCCACAATTTGTTCTGATCCACACAAGACAATGCTTGAGCCTAGTCAGTGAAGCAGATGCTTTTCTGGAATTGTCTTGCTTTTTCTATGATCCTACAGATGCTGTCCATTTGATCTCTTGTTCCTCTGCCTTTTCTTAGTCAAGCTTGAACATCTGGAAATTCTTGGTTCATGTATTGTTGAAGCCTAGCTTGAAGAATACTCAGCATATTTTTGGTAGTGTGTGAGATGACCCTATCCCCATAGTCATTTCAAATCAAGCTCCTTCTTACATTAGTCTGGATTTGTTTTATTTCATTGCAAAAATGGACAAAAATTCTTTGGTGATATGCTTATTTCCCACTTCACAGGTATTAATTCACTCCCTGTGTTATTTCAGGCATCCTTGTGAGTGCAAGGCGCACATCAGGAGCCAATACTCAGGACCCTGGTTTCATGGGGCTAACATTCTGGTCAGTGAGGATGGACGGTTCATACTAACCACAAATAATCAATTATACAGTATAGCGAGAACGTTATGAGTTTTGAGAAACGGGGAGTCTTTCCTTCCCTGAGGATAAGGATGGAAGGCCTTATGAACGCAGGACATTTAAGCAAAGACTTAATTAAAGAAAAGAGGGAGTGACTGTGTGGCTATCTTGGGCAATAAAGACCGGGGAGAGGAAAAGGCCAGGGCAAAAGCCCCCAAAAGGCATTGTCTATGTCCTTCCAATAAAACACGGAGGCTGCTGCAAGTGGGACCAGGTGAGTGAGGATGAGACTAGAAAGTGATGAGCTGCGGATGAGAGAGAACAGGGCAAGAAAAAGAGGAATGTAATGGTAAACTTACCTTTCCATTTACATGATGAATTGATTCACCGGACACAAACGACACTGGGCTGTGGTGGTAAAAGGGAGAGGCATTTGTCACAGTCTGATGGCAAGGAGGTGGGAGAGGAGTACTTTTCAGTAAAGACACCCGAGATGAATCCTGAGCCAGCTAAAGTAGATAGATCAAGTGGAAAGCTGTGAAAATGTTTCCCAGACAGTGAGGGAGAACGTGCCAAGGCACCGAGACCCAAGAGACCTGGCTATACATGCCTTGCCTATGACTGGAATCTAAGGTATGATGGGGAAATTGTGAAGGAACATGGCTTTGGAGGAAGAGGGTGGAACCTGAAGGGACACTTGGGCATATGTTACGCTACTGTCTGGGTTACCCTGCTTTGAAAGAGCATTATTAATATTTTCTAAATGTAAATATACACTCGAGGCAAACCAGTATGGAAATTGCAAAACGGACTACAAAAATGAAATTAGAGGACACCCATAAGTGTGTCAATAGACATATATACTGTTCATATTCTGCCTTTGTTGTTCTGCCTAAACCTTTATAACATATATTTTATATGTGTTATATACTGTGAAATATATACATATAATACACATATATTTAGATGAGCCTATGTACATCAGTGTTTTTTTTTTAATTTATACAAATTGAATCAATCTTTATGCTATGTTGTAACCTTCCTTTTCTATACCATATGCTGGGAGAATGTTTCCACCACAACAAACATGTAACTACCAGTATTTCTGAGGATTACTGTGGTGTTCAAATGCTTGCTTATCCCATACCCCATGCAAGTGCTATGAAGACAGGAACCATGTGCATCTTGCTCACTGGTTGCTTCCATATCTCTTCGATTGTAAGGAAGGATGTAATAAACTTTGGGGTACATGTATCTCTTCAAATTAGTGTTCATTTTCTTCTGATGTAGAGCTAGGTGTGGAATAGCTGGGCCACATGGGAGATCTATTTTTAGTGTTTTTAAGAAACTTCCACATTGTTTTCCACGGTGAGTGCACAAATATACATTCCCACCAGTTATGCACAAGGGTTTCCTGGAGTCCATATCCTTGCCACCATATGTTATTTTCAGATTTTTGGCTTGACGATAGCCATTCTGACAGCTGTGAGGTGATATCTCCCAGTGATTTTCATTTCTCTTTCTCTAACTATTCGTGATGTTCAGCATTTTTCCATATGCCTATTAACTCATACTGGAAGTCCTCTTTCTAGTCTGGTTCTTTAAGTTAAGCTGAAAAACTTTCAAGTTCTTACAATCATCAATAATATGTTCCATTTTCTTGTTGAATAGTATTCTCTCGGATGAATGCACCATTTGTATATTGGTTTACCATTTGAATAACATCTGAGTTCTTGCCAGTTTGGGGCTATTATTAATAGAGTCACAGTAAACATTGGCATGAAGCCTTTTATGTGAAGAGAAATTCATGTTTTATGCGGGAGTTATTTTCGGAATGGGATTACACAGTTTTCCAGTGTGCAGATATTTATGAGCAATGAAAAACATTTCCCAAAATGTCTTTATCATTTTTCATTCTGATGAGTCATTGAGGAGAGTTTCAGTTTCTCTCTTTTCCTGAGAGTTGTTTATGTTCTCAGTTATTTTATTGCTTTTATCCAAGATACAATTTGCATACTTAATATGCATTCAGTACTAATTACTAATTATTTTAGTTACTTTTAGGTGTTTATGAGTCACCTGTACAACGTATGTCCTATCTTATGTCAAGCAATTGCTATTCTAATATTTTCCCACATTTAATTGGATTATCTGTTCTCTTATTAGTGAGTTTCAGAGCTCTTATGTATTTTGGTTATAATATATTTTGTATGAATATTGATGTGTATTTGTGGGTGTTTGTGTGTATGTGAAATATATTTGTATTTGCATAACCAGCTGAAGAGAGAGAACTATTCTGTAAACTTATAGGAATTCCCTAATACCACAGTGGTATATTCTTTGTCCATAGTCCCTTAAGACTACTGATTTCTTTTCCATGTCTCCAATTTTGTCATTTTGAGAATAATATGTACGTGGAATCATAAAGTACATGTCGTTTTAAGATTGGCCTCTGTTTTACTTTGGCATGCACTTGAGATTCATTCATGTTGTCACGTGTATTAATATTTTCTCCCATTTTTTGATGAGAAATATTACTGGTATGGTTAACTGGGTCACAGGTATGGTGGTATGGTTATGTAACTATGGTTAAACCACAGTTGAACCATTCACTCATTGAAGGACCTCTAGCCTCTCTACATTTTTAGCTATTACAAGCAAAGTTTCAATGAAAATTCATGTAAAAGCTTTTATGTTCCTTTCTCTAAAATAAATATGCAGGAATAGAATTTCTGGGTCAAATCATACTTGAATGTTTATAGCATGTTGTATAATAAAGTGTCAAATTGTTTTTCAGGAGAGCTGTACCATTTATACTCTCACAAGAAATGTATGAATAACCAGTTTCTCTGCATCCTTGCCACCTTATTGTGTGGTCATGTTTTAACAATGTGTAGCCACTTTCACAGATAGAGAGCAGTTAGAACTCTTGATAGTTTCCCTGTGCGTTTCCGTCATAGCCAATATGCTCAGCATCTTTGCCTGTGCTTCTTTGCCATTGCTGTGACTTCGTTGGCCAAGTTTTTGTTCAAGTCTTTCAATTATCTTGATCATTTTCTATTGAGTGTCTCTTTTCACCTGATGACTTTGAGATTTTTCAATAAATGTTTTTCATTCCTAGTTATTTTCCATGCCATTATATTTGTTGGAGTTTTGCACATGTCAAATTATTAATATTTTAGGTTTATGCATTCTGACACAATGGATTTAGCCTAAATGTGAGGAACATCAGTTTCTGCATGGCTTTCTTCTAGAACTATAAGCTATTTTTACTTTTTCTATGTTCGTTTGCTTTTCCATATATATGCTAATATATACATTTATAAGTATCTCTGTGTAAGTCAGGATAGTATACATAGGCCACATCCTATATATAGGATACATCTATAGAAAAGATTCTACTTGTTTTGCTCTTTGAGAAGGACCCTAGCTCTGAAAAATAATTTTAATAAAAAATGCAGGGAAGTCGAGTATTGATTTATGGAATAGACAGGGTTTCTTGGTAAGACGGCCATTCAAAAGTCTATCAAGTACTGTTATGGTTGTATAGCTGAATGTAAGCATTTTATTATTCTAAAGCTTTTTTAAAAAAATTAATGTTTAGGTATGGAGCTTCTATAAATAGGAAAGTATTATCACATATTAAATTCCTACATTAAGAGCTTTGGAGAAATGTTCAATCAGAAAATCATGAAATATACTGACAATGTTGGTGTAATTGCAGGCTAGAGCAGACATTCATGAATAATGTATAGAACTGCAGTGTTTTGAAGGTTGGGGATGAGATTATGGAAAGGATCCATATCATTCTTAGTATTGATCTACATAGAAAACTAATTTGTTCATCAGTATTTGTATCAGTATAATTATAAATAAATTGATGTCTTCAGAAAAAAAAGTTCATGCCTACATTATATATCACAAACTAGAAATCTGTCTTCCATTTGAGCCATGCTAGCTCGTCGGAAATGAATAGTCTTTTAATGACAAATAGAATTGAGGACCAGTAAGAAGGGAAAATATTTCATCCTTTGACTTGCTCCATCATGACTGAGGACAAATTCTGAAAGTTCTATAGAGATCACAGAAGGAGAACCAATAATTACATAATTTGCATGGAAATTCAAAAAACGTTGGATAGCCAAAGCAATATTGTGAAAGAAGTATGGAATTGGAGGAACCAAGCTGCCTGACTTCAGGCTACACTACAAAGTTACAGTCATCAAGACAATATGGAACCAGCAGAAAGACAGAAATACAGGTCAGGAACAAAATGGAAACCCAGAGATAAATCCACCTACCTATGGACAGCTTGTCTTTGACGAAGGAGGAAAGAGTATACAATGGAGAAAAGACAAGCTCTTTAACATGTGGTACTGGGAAAACTGGTCAGCTACTTGGAAAGAATGAGACTAGAAGACTTTCTAACCCCATGTACAAGAATAAACTCAAAACGCATTAAAGATCTAAATGTAATACCAGAAACTATAAAAGTCCTAGAGGAAAACATAGGCAAAACATTCTTTGACATCAATCCCAGCACGGTAACTCAAGGACCCACCTCCCAGAGGAATGGAAATAAAAGCAAAAAATAAGTGAATAGGACCTAATTTAACTTAAAAGCTTTTGCACAACAAAGAAAGTATAAGCAAGATGAAAAGTCAGGCTTCAGAATGGGAGAAACTCATAGCAAATGAAGCAATGGACAATGAATTGATCTCAAAATTATGCAAGCAGCCCCTGAAGCTCAATTCCAGAAAAATAAATGATCCATTCAAAAAACGGGCCAAAGAACTAAACAGACACTTCTCCAAATAAGACATCCATATGGCTAACAAACACATGAAAAGATGCTCAAAATCACTCATTATCAGAGAAAGGCAAATCAAATGCACGATGAGGGACCATCTCACGTTGGTCAGAAGGGCTCCTATCAAAAAGTCTACAAAGAATAAGTGCTGGAGAGGAACAGTGTGGAGATTCCTCAGAAATTGGAAATGGAACTTCCCTACCACCCAGGAATCCCGCTGCTGGGCATACACACTAAGGAAACCAGAATTGAAAGAGACGCGTGTACCCCAATATTCATCACAGTACTGTTTATACTAGCCAGGACATGGAAGCAACCTAGATCTCCATGGGCAGACGAATGGATAAGCAGCCATGCTTCATATGCACAGAGGAACACTACTCAGCTATTAAAAAGAATGCATTTGCATCAGTTCAAATGAGGTGGATGAAGCTGGAGCCTATTTTAGACTGAAGGAAGTTAGAAAGAAAAACACCAATCCAGTATATTAATCATATAAATGGAATTTAGAAAAATGGTAACAATGACCCTATATGTGGGACAGCAAGAGAGACACAAAGGTAAAAACAGACTCTTGGACTCTGTGAGAGAAGGTGAGAGTGGGATGATTTGAGCAAATATCATTGAAACATGTATGTGAAACAGATTTCCACTAGAGCTTGGATGCATGGGGCAGGGTGCTCTGGGCTTTTGTGGTGGGACGATCCTGAGGGATGGGATGGGGAGGGAGGCGGGAAGGGGGTTCAGGATGGGGAACACATGTACATCCATGGCTCGTTCATGACAATATATGGCAAAGCCACTATAATATTGTAAAGTATTTAGCCTGCAACTGAAATAAATCAATTAAAATGAAAGTACTTACAAAAAAGAAAAACAGGCAGCACACCCAGGGGTCTTTCACTCATAAATCTTAAATCACATTCAGTGACTGACTTTGAATCATCAGTGGGGTCACCCAGGCATTAGAGTGCCAGAAAATGTGAATCAGGCAGCTGCAGTCCAGATCAAAGTTGACATATCATTGAGTTCCAATTTGAACACAACACTTTCGATGCTGATAGTGAAACTCTGTGTTCTGGTTGCTTCTAAATTGTTTCCTGAAGACACACACGATTCTCATCATCAGAACCTCTGCCTTATATATCTCCATATTTGTTTAAATTCTCTTTGAAATTTTTAAAATATTTCAACCTGAAAGTTAACACCAAATTTGATATTGCATTCTCTTTCTTTTAAACCATGATAAACTTCTAGAAGTTGGACTCACAAAAGACTTTATTTATCCATCATCAGTGCAGACTCCTAACCCACTCCACACCTCTACTCTCTGGCTAACTGGGGACCCGTGGGTCTGTTCCCCAACCTCTCAGGACCACATATCCCTCCCGTTTCAAGTGCCCAACTCTTCTCTTCTTTCCCTCCCTTAAATCAGAAAATTCACACACAAACACATATCATCTTTGCACCATTTGAGATTTCTTTTATTTGGAGCCATCAGCTTACTATGTTAGTGTGAGAGTCTTTTTTGGTTGGCCATTGCTAAAAAAGCAGACCCCTGGAGACACAATTCTAAATTGTCTGACCTTTGCTATTCATTAACTGGCTGCCAACGTTGTACTTCTCCAGGGTCTCTTACGTTGGGGCGGCTGAGCTTATTTTCTCTTTGGATTCTGCCTCCTTCCATGACTTTGTCTCATATTTTGGTACCTTTTTCGGCTTCGATTTGATTTCTTACCTCCACAGCCAGAGAAGAAAAGGTTTGCTTTTCTTGTTTTCTTTGGCTTCGTCGATTGAGTGGCATACGATCGGATTTTCTTTCTGAAGGTCCCTTGTAGAGGTCTTCTGACCCTCATGGTCATATTTCGTGCCTGGAAGACAAGACAAGGGTATCAGTTTGGAGGAAAGGACATAAAAACTGAGGTGGAAGGGAGATTTCATGAGAAAGAAATGTGAGCTAAGGGGGACATTTGTGCCAGGCATGGGCAGGGTAGAGGTCTTGGGCACCAAAGTCAAAGCAGATCATGGGAAGCTTAGTTGGAGTCCTCTTACCTTCACACCACGTCTGCCCCTCCTTTGACAAAGGGTCTTCTTCATTCCATTCTTCCTTGAAGCAAACCGCATTGCAACTCTTCTTGACGGCCGTGGCTTCCTGGTTGCCTTAGTCATGATGGTGCCAAGAAGTGGCCTAACCCAGGCTTTCAGCCTCTGACCTCCCTATTTATACCCTTTGAGGACAATGAAGAGCCACACCTTTCAATCTGATTGGTCCGTTAGGCACTGCCCCAGCCAGTAGTAGCTTGTGGGGCTTAGACATCACAATGCACCACTGTGACCATCAACATGGGCTAGTGGATGCTGAGGGAGACCGTGATATAACTTTCCCACTGCTGACATGTCTGTGTGCCTGATTCTGGGGAGTGGTGATTCAGGGGCCTGGTGCTTCTCCTCATGACCTTCAAACTTCCTTTGCGTTCCCTTTATCCTTTGACTTATATGTGCCACTTCAACCCTCATGCCTCTTTCATCCCTCTAGGAACATCTGCCTAACCTTTTCTGTCCCACTTCGTCCCTTCAGAGTCCTCTAAGCACTTCATCTCTAGATCACCATCTGCCTCTTGGGGATTCCTGAGGGGCTTAAGGAACTTAAGAGAAAGCACTTAAAGTGGACAAAGGTAAGGAAGAGCAGGTTGGATGTTTTATCTACTGTGGTGAGCTTCAGCGACCCCCAGACTTGGTGAATCCTCAGTCTGTTGCCCAAAGGTCAATATACAGTCTCCATCAGAGTACACATCAGAGCAAAGACAGTTTTAAATGTCTCCACCACTAAATTTTTTGGGGACACTTCAACTCTCATATTGAGTAGGGAAACTCAACGTGCCCCATCTATCAGAAAAAAATTCCTGACTTTTGCTTTTTACAAAAGGAAGGTGCTCAAAGTCAAGAATCAGTTCACCACTGCATTGCTGACTCTTGACTGAATCAATTCCCCAGTCACCCCTCCTTGACCGTTCTCAGTAGGTAGGGCCCATTGCATTGCTGACCAATAGCTGGGCAGGGAAAGTCCCTGTAGGTAGCTCATTGATAGTTGGTTGCTTGTGGGTGGGGCCAGTGAGGCACTGACCAATGGCTGAGCAAGTCCTGTTGCCTAGTAACAGGAGGCGGAGTAATAAGGCACAGCAATGGCTACCTGGGCAGGGCTCTGCCCAGGAACACTTTGGGTCCAGTGTGCTGGCATCTTTTTGACTGAGTCCTTTCCAACCTCAGATTTTTATTTCACATGCTTATTTAACTTTTGCCCATCATTCTTTCCGTTCTCTTCCCAGGCATTCCTGTCACCAGCGCTTATCTCTATGCCCCTCCAACAGATGCCACTTGATCACATGTTCAGCATATAGTATGCATAGTTCAAAACCAACAAGAATGTGCAGGCCAGCCCACGTTGAAATCTACTTTGAGAAACCTTAACTTCACAGTGATTTTTTTTCTATTTACAGTGTAACAGAGCAGGATGTGCACAGCCCTGAAGAGGGAGACTTTGGTGGGCTCCATTTCAACCCACCCTGTTCCTAGGCAACAGGTGTTGCTCAACCATTGCTTGGTGCCTCAGAGGGCCCCATCCACAAGCAAACAATTGTAAATGAGTGACTGTTAGCTGTCCTGCTTAGCTATTGGGCAGCACTGCAGTGGGCAATGCCCGCAGATTACTGTCAGTGAGGGACCTTTGGGGAAGCAATGAATTCAAGGGTGGTGTGGTGGAACTCAGGGGGAGACTGAGGCAAGAGGCAGAGTCAGGCCTTCTTCCGGAGGCCCTGGAGCTCATGCCGACTTGGGCCAGTGGGTGAGCTGGAGGGTCCAGGGAATAGCCTGGGGACTACATGCTGTAGCGCTCTTTTGTTCCTCTTTGCTGTCTGCCTTCAGGGTGTTGTCGCCTGCATATCTGAGGTGATTGATACTTCTCCCAGCAATCTTCCAGCTTGTGCTTCATCCAGTCTTGCATTTCTCATGATGTACTCTGCATATAAGTTAAATAAGCAGGATGACAACATACAGCCTTAACATACCCCTTTCCCAATTTCGAACCAGTCTGATGTTTCATGTCCGGTTCTAACTCATGCTGCTTTCCCTGCATTCAGAGTTCTCAGGAGGCAGGTAAGAGGGCCTGGTAGTCCCATCTCTTGCAGGATTTCCCACAATTTGTTCTGATCCACACAAGACAATGCTTGAGCCTAGTCAGTGAAGCAGATGCTTTTCTGGAATTGTCTTGTTTTTCTATGATCCTACAGATGCTGTCCATTTGATCTCTTGTTCCTCTGCCTTTTCTTAGTCAAGCTTGAACATCTGGAAATTCTTGGTTCATGTATTGTTGAAGCCTAGCTTGAAGAATACTCAGCATATTTTTGGTAGTGTGTGAGATGACCCTATCCCCATAGTCATTTCAAATCAAGCTCCTTCTTACATTAGTCTGGATTTGTTTTATTTCATTGCAAAAATGGACAAAAATTCTTTGGTGATATGCTTATTTCCCACTTCACAGGTATTAATTCACTCCCTGTGTTATTTCAGGCATCCTTGTGAGTGCAAGGCGCACATCAGGAGCCAATACTCAGGACCCTGGTTTCATGGGGCTAACATTCTGGTCAGTGAGGATGGACGGTTCATACTAACCACAAATAATCAATTATACAGTATAGCGAGAACGTTATGAGTTTTGAGAAACGGGGAGTCTTTCCTTCCCTGAGGATAAGGATGGAAGGCCTTATGAACGCAGGACATTTAAGCAAAGACTTAATTAAAGAAAAGAGGGAGTGACTGTGTGGCTATCTTGGGCAATAAAGACCGGGGAGAGGAAAAGGCCAGGGCAAAAGCCCCCAAAAGGCATTGTCTATGTCCTTCCAATAAAACACGGAGGCTGGTGCAAGTGGGACCAGGTGAGTGAGGATGAGACTAGAAAGTGATGAGCTGCGGATGAGAGAGAACAGGGCAAGAAAAAGAGGAATGTAATGGTAAACTTATCTTTCCATTTACATGATGAATTGATTCACCGGACACAAACGACACTGGGCTGTGGTGGTAAAAGGGAGAGGCATTTGTCATAGTCTGATGGCAAGGAGGTGGGAGAGGAGTACTTTTCAGTAAAGACACCCGAGATGAATCCTGAGCCAGCTAAAGTAGATAGACCAAGTGGAAAGCTGTGAAAATGTTTCCCAGACAGTGAGGGAGAACGTGCCAAGGCACCGAGACCCAAGAGACCTGGCTATACATGCCTTGTCTATGACTGGAATCTAAGGTATGATGGGGAAATTGTGAAGGAACATGGCTTTGGAGGAAGAGGGTGGAACCTGAAGGGACACTTGGGCATATGTTACGCTACTGTCTGTGTTACCCTGCTTTGAAAGAGCATTATTAATATTTTCTAAATGTAAATATACACTCGAGGCAAACCAGTATGGAAATTGCAAAACGGACTACAAAAATGAAATTAGAGGACACCCATAAGTGTGTCAATAGACATATATACTGTTCATATTCTGCCTTTGTTGTTCTGCCTAAACCTTGATAACATATATTTTATATGTGTTATATACTGTGAAATATATACATATAATACACATATATTTAGATGAGCCTATGTACATCAGTGTTTTTTTTTTAATTTATACAAATTGAATCAATCTTTATGCTATGTTGTAACCTTCCTTTTCTATACCATATGCTGGGAGAATGTTTCCACCACAACAAACATGTAACTACCAGTATTTCTGAGGATTACTGTGGTGTTCAAATGCTTGCTTACCCCATACCCCATGCAAGTGCTATGAAGACAGGAACCATGTGCATCTTGCTCACTGGTTGCTTCCATATCTCTTCGATTGTAAGGAAGGATGTAATAAACTTTGGGGTACATGTATCTCTTCAAATTAGTGTTCATTTTCTTCTGATGTAGAGCTAGGTGTGGAATAGCTGGGCCACATGGGAGATCTATTTTTAGTGTTTTTAAGAAACTTCCACATTGTTTTCCACGGTGAGTGCACAAATATACATTCCCACCAGTTATGCACAAGGGTTTCCTTGAGTCCATATCCTTGCCACCATATGTTATTTTCAGATTTTTGGCTTGACGATAGCCATTCTGACAGCTGTGAGGTGATATCTCCCAGTGATTTTCATTTCTCTTTCTCTAACTATTCGTGATGTTCAGCATTTTTCCATATGCCTATTAACTCATACTGGAAGTCCTCTTTTTAGTCTGGTTCTTTAAGTTAAGCTGAAAAACTTTCAAGTTCTTACAATCATCAATAACATGTTCCATTTTCTTGTTGAATAGTATTCTCTCGGATGAATGCACCATTTGTATATTGGTTTACCATTTGAATAACATCTGAGTTCTTGCCAGTTTGGGGCTATTATTAATAGAGTCACAGTAAACATTGGCATGAAGCCTTTTATGTGAAGAGAAATTCATGTTTTACGCGGGAGTTATTTTCAGAATGGGATTACACAGTTTTCCAGTGTGCAGATATTTATGAGCAATGAAAAACATTTCCCAAAATGTCTTTATCATTTTTCATTCTGATGAGTCATTGAGGAGAGTTTCAGTTTCTCTCTTTTCCTGAGAGTGTTTATGTTCTCAGTTATTTTATTGCTTTTATCCAAGATACAATTTGCATACTTAATATGCATTCAGTACTAATTACTAATTATTTTAGTTACTTTTAGGTGTTTATGAGTCACCTGTACAACGTATGTCCTATCTTATGTCAAGCAATTGCTATTCTAATATTTTCCCACATTTAATTGTATTATCTGTTCTCTTATTAGTGAGTTTCAGAGCTCTTATGTATTTTGGTTATAATATATTTTGTATGAATATTGATGTGTATTTGTGGGTGTTTGTGTGTATGTGAAATATATTTGTATTTGCATAACCAGCTGAAGAGAGAGAACTATTCTGTAAACTTATAGGAATTCCCTAATACCACAGTGGTATATTCTTTGTCCATAGTCCCTTAAGACTACTGATTTCTTTTCCATGTCTCCAATTTTGTCATTTTGAGAATAATATGTACGTGGAATCATAAAGTACATGTCGTTTTAAGATTTGCCTCTGTTTTACTTTGGCATGCACTTGAGATTCATTCATGTTGTCACATGTATTAATATTTTCTCCCATTTTTTGATGAGAAATATTACTGGTATGGTTAACTGGGTCACAGGTATGGTGGTATGGTTATGTAACTATGGTTAAACCACAGTTGAACCATTCACTCATTGAAGGACCTCTAGCCTCTCTACATTTTTAGCTATTACAAGCAAAGTTTCAATGAAAATTCATGTAAAAGCTTTTATTTTCCTTTCTCTAAAATAAATATGCAGGAATAGAATTTCTGGGTCAAATCATACTTGAATGTTTATAGCATGTTGTATAATAAAGTGTCAAATTGTTTTTCAGGAGAGCTGTACCATTTATACTCTCACAAGAAATGTATGAATAACCAGTTTCTCTGCATCCTTGCCACCTTATTGTGTGGTCATGTTTTAACAATGTGTAGCCACTTTCACTGATAGAGAGCAGTTAGAACTCTTGATAGTTTCCCTGTGCGTTTCCGTCATAGCCAATATGCTCAGCATCTTTGCCTGTGCTTCTTTGCCATTGCTGTGACTTCGTTGGCCAAGTTTTTGTTCAAGTCTTTCAATTATCTTGATCATTTTCTATTGAGTGTCTCTTTTCACCTGATGACTTTGAGATTTTTCAATAAATGTTTTTCATTCCTAGTTATTTTCCATGCCATTATATTTGTTGGAGTTTTGCACATGTCAAATTATTAATATTTTAGGTTTATGCATTCTGACACAATGGATTTAGCCTAAATGTGAGGAACATCAGTTTCTGCATGGCTTTCTTCTAGAACTATAAGCTATTTTTACTTTTTCTATGTTCGTTTGCTTTTCCATATATATGCTAATATATACATTTATAAGTTTCTCTGTGTAAGTCAGGATAGTATACATAGGCCACATCCTATATATAGGATACATCTATAGAAAAGATTCTACTTGTTTTGCTCTTTGAGAAGGACCCTAGCTCTGAAAAATAATTTTAATAAAAAATGCAGGGAAGTCGAGTATTGATTTATGGAATAGACAGGGTTTCTTGGTAAGACGGCCATTCAAAAGTCTATCAAGTACTGTTATGGTTGTATAGCTGAATGTAAGCATTTTATTATTCTAAAGCTTTTTTAAAAAAATTAATGTTTAGGTATGGAGCTTCTATAAATAGGAAAGTATTATCACATATTAAATTCCTACATTAAGAGCTTTGGAGAAATGTTCAATCAGAAAATCATGAAATATACTGACAATGTTGGTGTAATTGCAGGCTAGAGCAGACATTCATGAATAATGTATAGAACTGCAGTGTTTTGAAGGTTGGGGATGAGATTATGGAAAGGATCCATATCATTCTTAGTATTGATCTACATAGAAAACTAATTTGTTCATCAGTATTTGTATCAGTATAATTATAAATAAATTGATGTCTTCAGAAAAAAAAGTTCATGCCTACATTATATATCACAAACTAGAAATCTGTCTTCCATTTGAGCCATGCTAGCTCGTCGGAAATGAATAGTCTTTTAATGACAAATAGAATTGAGGACCAGTAAGAAGGGAAAATATTTCATCCTTTGACTTGCTCCATCATGACTGAGGACAAATTCTGAAAGTTCTATAGAGATCACAGAAGGAGAACAAATAATTACATAATTTGCATGGAAATTCAAAAAACGTTGGATAGCCAAAGCAATATTGTGAAAGAAGTATGGAATTGGAGGAACCAACCTGCCTGACTTCAGGCTACACTACAAAGTTACAGTCATCAAGACAATATGGAACCAGCAGAAAGACAGAAATACAGGTCAGGAACAAAATGGAAACCCAGAGATAAATCCACCTACCTATGGACAGCTTGTCTTTGACGAAGGAGGCAAGAGTATACAATGGAGAAAAGACAAGCTCTTTAACAGGTGGTACTGGGAAAACTGGTCAGCTACTTGGAAAGAATGAGACTAGAAGACTTTCTAACCCCATGTACAAGAATAAACTCAAAACGCATTAAAGATCTAAATGTAATACCAGAAACTATAAAAGTCCTAGAGGAAAACATAGGCAAAACATTCTTTGACATCAATCCCAGCACGGTAACTCAAGGACCCACCTCCCAGAGGAATGGAAATAAAAGCAAAAAATAAGTGAATAGGACCTAATTTAACTTAAAAGCTTTTGCACAACAAAGAAAGTATAAGCAAGATGAAAAGTCAGGCTTCAGAATGGGAGAAACTCATAGCAAATGAAGCAATGGACAATGAATTGATCTCAAAATTATGCAAGCAGCCCCTGAAGCTCAATTCCAGAAAAATAAATGATCCATTCAAAAAACGGGCCAAAGAACTCAACAGACACTTCTCCAAATAAGACATCCATATGGCTAACAAACACATGAAAAGATGCTCAAAATCACTCATTATCAGAGAAAGGCAAATCAAATGCACGATGAGGGACCATCTCACGTTGGTCAGAAGGGCTCCTATCAAAAAGTCTACAAAGAATAAGTGCTGGAGAGGAACAGTGTGGAGATTCCTCAGAAATTGGAAATGGAACCTCCCTACCACCCAGGAATCCCGCTGCTGGGCATACACACTAAGGAAACCAGAATTGAAAGAGACGCGTGTACCCCAATATTCATCACAGTACTGTTTATACTAGCCAGGACATGGAAGCAACCTAGATCTCCATGGGCAGACGAATGGATAAGCAGCCATGCTTCATATGCACAGTGGAACACTACTCAGCTATTAAAAAGAATGCATTTGCATCAGTTCAAATGAGGTGGATGAAGCTGGAGCCTATTTTAGACTGAAGGAAGTTAGAAAGAAAAACACCAATCCAGTATATTAATCATATAAATGGAATTTAGAAAAATGGTAACAATGACCCTATATGTGGGACAGCAAGAGAGACACAAAGGTAAAAACAGACTCTTGGACTCTGTGAGAGAAGGTGAGAGTGGGATGATTTGAGCAAATATCATTGAAACATGTATGTGAAACAGATTTCCACTAGAGCTTGGATGCATGGGGCAGGGTGCTCTGCGCTTTTGTGGTGGGACGATCCTGAGGGATGGGATGGGGAGGGAGGCGGGAAGGGGGCTCAGGATTGGGAACACATGTACATCCATGGCTCGTTCATGACAATATATGGCAAAACCACTATAATATTGTAAAGTATTTAGACTGCAAATGAAATAAATCAATTAAAATGAAAGTACTTACAAAAAAGGAAAACAGGCAGCACACCCAGGGGTCTTTCACTCATAAATCTTAAATCACATTCAGTGACTGACTTTGAATCATCAGTGGGGTCACCCAGGCATTAGAGTGCCAGAAAATGTGAATCAGGCAGCTGCAGTCCAGATCAAAGTTGACATATCATTGAGTTCCAATTTGAACACAACACTTTCGATGCTGATAGTGAAACTCTGTGTTCTGGTTGCTTCTAAATTGTTTCCTGAAGACACACAGGATTCTCATCATCAGAACCTCTGCCTTATATATCTCCATATTTGTTTAAATTCTCTTTGAAATTTTTAAAATATTTCAACCTGAAAGTTAACACCAAATTTGATATTGCATTCTCTTTCTTTTAAACCATGATAAACTTCTAGAAGTTGGACTCACAAAAGACTTTATTTATCCATCATCAGTGCAGACTCCTAACCCACTCCACACCTCTACTCTCTGGCTAACTGGGGACCCGTGGGTCTGTTCCCCAACCTCTCAGGACCACATATCCCTCCCGTTTCAAGTGCCCAACTCTTCTCTTCTTTCCCTCCCTTAAATCAGAAAATTCACACACACACACATATCATCTTTGCACCATTTGAGATTTCTTTTATTTGCAGCCATCAGCTTACTATGTTAGTGTGAGAGTCTTTTTTGGTTGGCCATTGCTAACAAAGCAGACCCCTGGAGACACAATTCTAAACTGTCTGACCTTTGCTATTCATTAACTGGCTGCCAACGTTGTACTTCTCCAGGGTCTCTTATTTTGGGGCGGCTGAGCTTATTTTCTCTTTGGATTCTGCCTCCTTCCATGACTTTGTCTCATATTTTGGTACCTTTTTCGGCTTCGATTTGATTTCTTACGTCCACAGCCAGAGAAGGAAAGGTTTGCTTTTCTTGTTTTCTTTCGCTTCATCGATTGAGTGGCATACGATCGGATTTTCTTTCTGAAGGCCCCTTGTAGAGGTCTTCTGACCCTCATGGTCATATTTCGTGCCTGGAAGACAAGACAAGGGTATCAGTTTGGAGGGAAGGACATAAAAACTGAGGTGGAAGGGAGATTTCATGAGAAAGAAATGTGAGCTAAGGGGGACATTTGTGCCAGGCATGGGCAGGGTAGAGATCTTGGGCACCAAAGTCAAAGCAGATCATGGGAAGCTTAGTTGGAGTCCTCTTACCTTCACACCACGTCTGCCCCTCCTTTGACAAAGGGTCTTCTTCATTCCATTCTTCCTTGAAGCAAACCGCATTGCAACTCTTCTTGACGGCCGTGGCTTCCTGGTTGCCTTAGTCATGATGGTGCCAAGAAGTGGCCTAACCCAGGCTTTCAGCCTCTGACCTCCCTATTTATACCCTTTGAGGACAATGAAGAGCCACACCTTTCAATCTGATTGGTCCGTTAGGCACTGCCCCAGCCAGTAGTAGCTTGTGGGGCTTAGACATCACAATGCACCACTGTGACCATCAACATGGGCTAGTGGATGCTGAGGGAGACCGTGATATAACTTTCCCACTGCTGACATGTCTGTGTGCCTGATTCTGGGGAGTGGTGATTCAGGGGCCTGGTGCTTCTCCTCATGACCTTCAAACTTCCTTTGCTTTCCCTTTATCCTTTGACTTATATGTGCCACTTCATCCCTCATGCCTCTTTCATCCCTCTAGGAACATCTGCCTAACCTTTTCTGTCCCACTTCATCCCTTCAGAGTCCTCTAAGCACTTCATCTCTAGATCACCTTCTGCCTCTTGGGGATTCCTGAGGGGCTTAAGGAACTTAAGAGAAAGCACTTAAAGTGGACAAAGGTAAGGAAGAGCAGGTTGGATGTTTTATCTACTGTGGTGAGCTTCAGCGACCCCCAGACTTGGTGAATCCTCAGTCTGTTGCCCAAAGGTCAATATACAGTCTCCATCAGAGTACACATCAGAGCAAAGACAGTTTTAAATGTCTCCACCACTAAATTTTTTGGGGACACTTCAACTCTCATATTGAGTAGGGAAACTCAACGTGCCCCATCTATCAGAAAAAAATTCCTGACTTTTGCTTTTTACAAAAGGAAGGTGCTCAAAGTCAAGAATCAGTTCACCACTGCATCGCTGACTCTTGACTGAATCAATTCCCCAGTCACCCCTCCTTGACCGTTCTCAGTAGGTAGGGCCCATTGCAGTGCTGACCAATAGCTGGGCAGGGCAAGTCCCTGTAGGTAGCTCATTGATAGTTGGTTGCTTGTGGGTGGGGCCAGTGAGTCACTGACCAATGGCTGAGCAAGTCCTGCTGCCTAGTAACAGGAGGCAGAGTAATAAGGCACAGCAATGGCTACCTGGGCAGGGCTCTGCCCAGGAACACTTTGGGGCCAGTGTGCTGGCATCTTTTTGACTGAGTCCTTTCCAACCTCAGATTTTTATTTCACATGCTTATTTAACTTTTGCCCATCATTCTTTCCTTTCTCTTCCCAGGCATTCCTGTCACCAGCGCTTATCTCTATGCCCCTCCAACAGATGCCACTTGATCACATGTTCAGCATATAGCATGCATAGTTCAAAACCAACAAGAATGTGCAGGCCAGCCCACGTTGAAAACTACTTTGAGAAACCTTAACTTCACAGTGATTTTTTTTTCTATTTACAGTGTAACAGAGCAGGATGAACACAGCCCTGAAGAGGGAGCCTTTGGTGTGCTCCATTTCAACCCACCCTGTTCCTAGGCAACAGGTGTTGCTCAACCATTGCTTGGTGCCTCAGAGGGCCCCATCCACAAGCAAACAATTGTAAATGAGTGACTGTTAGCTGTCCAGCTTAGCTATTGGGCAGCACTGCAGTGGGCAATGCCAGCAGGTTACTGTCAGTGAGGGACCTTTTGGGAAGCAATGAAGTCAAGGGTGGTGTGGTGGCACTCAGGGGGAGACTGAGGCAAGAGGCAGAGTCAGGCCTTCTTCCGGAGGCCCTGGAGCTCATGCCGACTTGGGCCAGTGGGTGAGCTGGAGGGTCCAGGGAATAGCCTGGGGACTACATGCTGTAGCTCTCTTTTGTTCCTCTTTGCTGTCTGCCTTCAGGGTGTTGTCGCCTGCATATCTGAGGTGATTGATACTTCTCCTGGCAATCTTCCAGCTTGTGCTTCATCCAGTCTTGCATTTCTCATGATGTACTCTGCATAGAAGTTAAATAAGCAGGATGACAACATACAGCCTTAACATACCCCTTTCCCAATTTCGAACCAGTCTGATGTTTCATGTGCTGTTCTAACTCATGCTGCTTTCCCTGCATTCAGAGTTCTCAGGAGGCAGGTAAGAGGGCCTGGTAGTCCCATCTCTTGAAGGATTTCCACAATTTGTTCTGATCCACACAAGACAATGCTTGAGCCTAGTCAGTGAAGCAGATGCTTTTCTGGAATTGTCTTGCTTTTTCTATGATCCTACAGATGCTGTCCATTTGATCTCTTGTTCCTCTGCCTTTTCTTAGTCAAGCTTGAACATCTGGAAATTCTTGGTTCATGTATTGTTGAAGCCTAGCTTGAAGAATACTCAGCATATTTTTGGTAGTGTGGGAGATGACCCTATCCCCATAGTCATTTCAAATCAAGCTCCTTCTTACATTAGTCTGGATTTGTTTTATTTCATTGCAAAAATGGACAAAAATTCTTTGGTGATATGCTTATTTCCCACTTCACAGGTATTAATTCACTCCCTGTGTTATTTCAGGCATCCTTGTGAGTGCAAGGCGCACATCAGGAGCCAATACTCAGGACCCTGGTTTCATGGGGCTAACATTCTGGTCAGTGAGGATGGACGGTTCATACTAACCACAAATAATCAATTATACAGTATAGCGAGAACGTTATGAGTTTTGAGAAACGGTGAGTCTTTCCTTCCCTGAGGATAAGGATGGAAGGCCTTATGAACGCAGGACATTTAAGCAAAGACTTAATTAAAGAAAAGAGGGAGTGACTGTGTAGCTATCTTGGGCAATAAAGACCGGGTAGAGGAAAAGCCCAGGGCAAAAGCCCCCAAAAGGCATTGTCTATGTCCTTCCAATAAAACACGGAGGCTGGTGCAAGTGGGACCAGGTGAGTGAGGATGAGACTAGAAAGTGATGAGCTGCGGATGAGAGAGAACAGGGCAAGAAAAAGAGGAATGTAATGGTAAACTTATCTTTCCATTTACATGATGAATTGATTCACCGGACACAAACGACACTGGGCTGTGGTGGTAAAAGGGAGAGGCATTTGTCATAGTCTGATGGCAAGGAGGTGGGAGAGGAGTACTTTTCAGTAAAGACACCCGAGATGAATCCTGAGCCAGCTAAAGTAGATAGATCAAGTGGAAAGCTGTGAAAATGTTTCCCAGACAGTGAGGGAGAACGTGCCAAGGCACCGAGACCCAAGAGACCTGGCTATACATGCCTTGCCTATGACTGGAATCTAAGGTATGATGGGGAAATTGTGAAGGAACATGGCTTTGGAGGAAGAGGGTGGAACCTGAAGGGACACTTGGGCATATGTTACGCTACTGTCTGGGTTACCCTGCTTTGAAAGAGCATTATTAATATTTTCTAATTGTAAATATACACTCGAGACAAACCAGTATGGAAATGGCAAAACGGAGTACAAAAATGAAATTAGAGGACACCCATAAGTGTGTCAATAGACATATATACTGTTCATATTCTGCCTTTGTTGTTCTGCCTAAACCTTTATAACATATATTTTATATGTGTTATATACTGTGAAATATATACATATAATACACATATATTTAGATGAGCCTATGTACATCAGTGTTTTTTTTTTTTAATTTATACAAATTGAATCAATCTTTATGCTATGTTGTAACCTTCCTTTTCTATACCATATGCTGGGAGAATGTTTCCACCACAACAAACATGTAACTACCAGTATTTGTGAGGATTACTGTGGTGTTCAAATGCTTGCTTATCCCATACTCCATGCAAGTGCTATGAAGACAGGAACCATGTGCATCTTGCTCACTGGTTGCTTCCATATCTCTTCTATTGTAAGGAAGGATGTAATAAACTTTGGGGTACATGTATCTCTTCAAATTAGTGTTCATTTTCTTCTGATGTAGAGCTAGGTGTGGAATAGCTGGGCCACATGGGAGATCTATTTTTAGTGTTTTTAAGAAACTTCCACATTGTTTTCCACGGTGAGTGCACAAATATACATTCCCACCAGTTATGCACAAGGGCTTCCTTGAGTCCATATCCTTGCCACCATATGTTATTTTCAGATTTTTGGCTTGACGATAGCCATTCTGACAGCTGTGAGGTGATATCTCCCAGTGATTTTCATTTCTCTTTCTCTAACTATTCGTGATGTTCAGCATTTTTCCATATGCCTATTAACTCATACTGGAAGTCCTCTTTCTAGTCCGGTTCTTTACGTTAAGCTGAAAAACTTTCAAGTTCTTACAATCATCAATAACATGTTCCATTTTCTTGTTGAATAGTATTCTCTCGGATGAATGCACCATTTGTATATTGGTTTACCATTTGAATAACATCTGAGTTCTTGCCAGTTTGGGGCTATTATTAATAGAGTCACAGTAAACATTGGCATGAAGCCTTTTATGTGAAGAGAAATTCATGTTTTACGCGGGAGTTATTTTCGGAATGGGATTACACAGTTTTCCAGTGTGCAGATATTTATGAGCAATGAAAAACATTTCCCAAAATGTCTTTATCATTTTTCATTCTGATGAGTCATTGAGGAGAGTTTCAGTTTCTCTCTTTTCCTGAGAGTTGTTTATGTTCTCAGTTATTTTATTGCTTTTATCCAAGATACAATTTGCATACTTAATATGCATTCAGTACTAATTACTAATTATTTTAGTTACTTTTAGGTGTTTATGAGTCACCTGTACAACGTATGTCCTATCTTATGTCAAGCAATTGCTATTCTAATATTTTCCCACATTTAATTGGATTATCTGTTCTCTTATTAGTGAGTTTCAGAGCTCTTATGTATTTTGGTTATAATATATTTTGTATGAATATTGATGTGTATTTGTGGGTGTTTGTGTGTATGTGAAATATATTTGTATTTGCATAACCAGCTGAAGAGAGAGTACTATTCTGTAAACGTATAGGAATTCCCTAATACCACAGTGGTATATTCTTTGTCCATAATCCCTTAAGACTACTGATTTCTTTTCCATGTCTCCAATTTTGTCATTTTGAGAATAATATGTACGTGGAATCATAAAGTACATGTCGTTTTAAGATTTGCCTCTGTTTTACTTT